TCTGCAAGCCAGGAAGGAAGCCCTTGCCAGGAACCATATCTGCCAACACTTTGATCTGGGACTTCCAGCCGCCAGAAACTGTGGGAAATAAATGTCCATTGTTTAAGCCACCCAGTCCATTGCAATTATTACTGTAAGGCCCAAGCTGATTAAGATAAGTGCACATCAGGAGGAAATGAGGGAGGCACAGTCCATGTCTTAGTCCCTCCTGGGTGCCATAACAAAATGCCTTAGACCCGATAATTTCTAAGTAACAGAAATGTATTGCTTACAGTTCTAAAGCTGAGGAAGTCCAAGATCAAGGTTCCCACAGATTTGGTGTCTAGAGAGGGCCCATTCCTTGTAGAGGGAGGGTGCCTTCTACGTGGCTTCCTATGGCAAAAGAGATAAAACGGCGCTCCCAAGCCTCTTCTACAATGGCACTAATCTCCTGCGTGAGGACAGAGCCGTTAGGACCTAACCACCTCCCAGATGCCCACATCCCAATGCGCTGCAGTGGGGGTTATATTCCCACATAGGAATTTTAGATAATAGCAATCAGAAATATTTTTGAGACTATTTTTTAAAAGATCACCCCTGAGCCACACATGGTGGCTCATGCCTGCAATCCCAGCACTTGGGAGGCTGAGGCAGTAAGATCACTGTGAATCTGAGGCCAGCCTGGGCTGCAAAGTGAGTTCCAGACCAGCCTGAACTACATAGTGAGACCCTGTCTCAAAAAGACTAAATAAATAAATAATAAAATGTTACCCCCAAACTCAATCGTATCAGGTATTTTCCTGGTAGGGAACATGGAAACCCCACTGAAGATCTCTAGTCTCGGCACACTGTTGAGTGTTGGATAAAGGCACATCAGTGTCAAGCTCAAGACGGTCTGGGAAACCAGAACCACTTAGGTTGGTTTTGAGGGTCATAGTACTGTGGCCAGAGTTGACTAATCAGAGCAGAACTGCAGCTGGGTTACAGTGTTGGGTCAGCACCACCATCCCTGTGAGTCAGTCTGGTAAGAGCAGTATCCCCAGGAAAGCGTCCTCCTGCACCAAGAGACCACGGCTCAGCATGGGTGTGGCATAGAGTGGTAACGTCCACATCGGGATGTGGAATCCTCCGCTCTCTGCCCACCTGTGATGGGGTGAATGTCAACACGTGCGGCAGCGGGGAGTCTCGGCAGCAGTAGTGACAGTCTGGGAGGTACAGACTCCACAACCTGCTTGGTTCTAGTTGATTACATCTGAGGACAAGCGGCCACCATGCACAGTGACACAAGTGACTCAGACATTTGGATCAGCAGCTGCGATTTGCTGTCCCATTTTGTGGCCCCCAGAGGGATGTCTTTAATCAACCAAAAGACCAAAGCTTGCCAATTTTTCCGTAGTTTTCCAAATGTCAGGCCCAATTGCTAGGTCATTGAAAGCAACCCAAGTATCACTAAAAGTATCACAAGCTTCATCAAAGGAGTTGGCCAGAGCTCTGAGCACGGCCTGGAGTCCTGCCCAGGGAATGGACGGACAGCAGGTCCACTCTCAGAGCTGCAAAGCTGTGCTGGAGCTCAGTTGCCGCCTCAGGCCAGTGGGCTCTGCCCGGTTTCAGCTGAGTGAGGAATCAGTAAAACCCCTCGTTTAGGGGATTCTGTGAGCCCAGAGTCCCACGGAGTCAGTATTCTACTTGGAGCAGCAGTGTGGGGGATAAACTTTCCCCCAGAGAGGTTTGTTAACCTTTTTCATCTAGTCCCAAAATGCCACCGAGACCAAGCGAGCTGTATTTTTGGATATGCCCTTTCCATTTGACAAGTGACAAGCCCTGAGTTTCTCTCATGAATAATCATGACAATTATAAACAAAATATTTAGCAAATTGAATTCATCAGTATATTACAACAAATTTGGATTGAGTCTAGGGATGCAAATTGGATTAATACCCAAAAATAATCCATTGCCAGGCTCCTGCTTCCAAAGAGCAGTGACGTAGCTAGTGGCACACTTGTCTGTCTGCCACCTCAATGAGAAAAGGGACACAAATACTGAGATCTCCTTTAGAATAGCAGCTAAAAGCTGCTGAGGCACTAAGAATTAGTGAAGCTAGGAAATTTAAGACTGGAAAACTGGAACAAGTAAGCCTGCAGTGATAGCTGCTTTTACCCTAGGAGTATTTGTAAATCTGAGTGGAAGAACAAATTTTGGCAAGATTTGGGGGGACTTTATATATGTATCTGCTTTACTGATAAGGCTGGTTCGGGGTCTTTTTGTAACTTTGCTGAACACAGTGAGGAGCTTTCCCAGAAAGCCTTGGGAAGTTGAGCAATTTGGAACCACCGTAGGGAGGGTCTGCCGAGTACAAGCTCTTACATGAAGATAGAAATACCGTCTTTCTCTGTAGCTCTTACATGAAGATAGAAATACCGTCTTTCTCTGTTGACTGCTCATCAAAAGAAAGAAAATATCTCTCCCCAGGGCAAAGATTGGGCACATGGACTTGCAGCCCGTTATACAGTCTTGGGATTTACTAAGCTTGGGGTTCCTCGGCTGTGACACAAACCAACTAAGTGCACAGTGTCCTCCTGTCTGCTTATACACCATTACACACCACCCCGTGAGATTTGGGGGGCAAGAGAACTAACATAAATACTATCTATGTTCATGCTGCTTACTGTGCTGTAATAAAGTTCTTTGTCTCTGACCCAGAAATCTCATGATTTCTTCCGGTGTCCATGAAACCATGGCAGGTTAACTGTTTACAGTATACAAGGTGATGTTTTGATGTATGTGCTCTTATAAAGTGATCGCAGTGATCAAGCTAACCCGCACATCCTTCAACTCAGGCAGTTACTATTTTTTGGTGTGTGGGAGCATTTCAGATCCACTCTCTTAGCCAATTTTGTCTCAAGTACACAATATGGTATTATCAACTGTGGTCACCATGCTGTGTGTTAAATCTCTAGAACTTACTCATCCTGAATAACCAAAACTGTTGGTCTTCTAATGAGTTCATTCACATTTAATGTAAGTACTGATATATTTGTATTTAAGCCTGTTATCTAGAGTTGAATCTAAACCTATTATCTTGCTATTTAGTATGCTCTCTCTCTCTCTCTCTCTCTCTCTCTCTTCTTTTGAATTGTTTAAGGGTGTTTATCATTTTGGTTTCTGTTCTATTCGCTTGTTAATTTTAGGTGGTTTCCCAAAAGTTTACAAAATGCATCTTTGAGTTACTAGAATTTGCCTTATGTAGATCCTTTTACCACTTCCTGGCCAATGTAAGGACTTTAGAATTTATGTCCTGTGCTGTGTGTTCTCATAGTTTGGGTTATTGCTGTCATTTGTTTTAATCCTACATATAATTTAATCCCCCCAAGGACATTGCTTGTCCCACTTTGGACAGTCAATATACACTTGTGTTCTCCTTATTTCTTTTGTATACCTTGCTTCCACCCAAGATCATTTTCCTCCTGCCTTTAATGTTTTCACTGTGGATCTAGTGATAAGAAATTTTCTTTAAATTTACCTAAGGTACAGAAGTCTAGGATGGTAATACTTTACTTTTTACCAAAAGAAACTTTGATGAGTAAAATTTTGATAGGAACTGTACGTAAGTCATGGATAAATTTGGAAAGAATTCACATTTTTACTAGGTTGAGCCTTCCTATCCCTGACCGTGGTATGTCTCTCCATTTGTCTAGATAGTTTACTCCTTTCATCAGTATTTAGCATACATGCACAAATGCTGAACATGTTATGTTACATCTATACCTAATACTTAATTTTTGATTAATTATAAATAGTGTTATATTTTATCCAGATTTCTATGTATTCATTACTAGTAATGTAGACTACAGTGGATTTGTATATACTGATCTCATATCCTGGGACCTTGGCAAGATAACTTATTACTTGTAGATGTTTGTATCATTTTCTGCATAAACTTTCATGTCATCTGCAAATGAGAATAGTGTTACTCCTTGTCTTCCGATCTACAACTACAGGTTTATTGTTTTCTTAGCATATTTCATTGGCTAGGGCTTCTGTTACTAAGTTGAGTAGCAGTGGTGAGAGTGGACATTCTTGCCTTTTTCTGTGCTTGGAAGTAAAGCAGTCAGTCTTGGCCTCTACGTATAACATTAGCTCTGGGAATTTGGGAGATGTTTTTAGCAAGTTGGGGAAGTTCCCTTCTGTTCCTAGTTTTGTACAAGTTTTTAACCATGAGTAAAGATGGAATTTTTTAGAAGTTTTTTTAGGAGTTTTTAATCATGAATAAAAATAGAATCAAATTCTTTCTTCCATTCATGTTCTAATGATGTAACATTTTTCTTCAGTAGTTTGTTAATATGGTTAATATGTTACTGTTGTTAATATGGTGAAGGTTAATTGATTGAATATCAAATATGGAGCCAGCCTTACATCCCTGTAACAAACCCCACTTGATTGTGGTATATAATCTTCTATATATATTCCTGAGTATAATTTGTCTGTATTTGGCAGCTTGTCCATGAGAAGTATTAGGCTGTACTTTTCGGCACCTTTTTCATCTGGTTTTGGTGTCAAGGTAATACTTAGTTATTTTCTGGAGGAGACTATATAGGATTGGGTGTCACTCCTTGTATATCCTTTTCAGTGGCTGTTATATTCGTATACAGTATCAAAGTCTATTTAACCATCTTTAGTGCAGCTTGGAAATCTTGCTGCCTTTTTTGTTCCTTTATCCCCCACCATTCATAATGTGATTGCCTAAATATTTGCCGTGCATATATTGAAACATACAGATAGACATACAGTTTTTTCTTTTACAATCAAATGTAGTGGGAAACTCGAAACAAGACAGGAAGCGTGTTACATTTGCCCATATTCTTGCTCTTCGTTTTACTTGAGAAAGGTAGCTACAGCACTAAGCCGTCTCACTGAGGTCTCTAGAAAAATCTTCCACTAATATTTGTGATTACTTAGCACACATGATCCCTGCCATCCTGACTTTTCCGGGCTTGTGTTCTAAAGAGAACTTCTGTTCCAGGTCGCCTGAACTGGTGGTCCACCGTGTGCACAAGCTGTAAACGGCTTCTTCCTCTGGCCACGACAGGGGATGGGAACTGCCTGCTGCACGCAGCCTCACTGGGTAAGCTCTACAGCACAGAGGGAGGGTGGCAGGGCTTCAGGCCTGCCCGATGCATAGTTCAAGCAAGGACATAGGTTCAGTAGAGCCACCATGTCATTATCATCTGGAAGTGGCTCCATGGGATGGAGCCAACTTTCCTGGTTAAACACCTGGCTGGGTTGGTAACGAGACACAGCACAAGAGAGAAAAGACCCATCCTGACATAAGGAGGAGCTGTGGGAATGGAAACTAGGGATTGTGTCCTGAAGTAGAGGAGACAGCATCTCTACTGAGACTTGAAAAACTTGAGAGAGTAGAAAAGAGGATGATCCAGCAGGGAGACCCCACAGATGGGGCACAGTGCAGGAATCGGCAGGCTGTTTAGAGGCAGAGTTGAGCTAGCTGAGGCCCCAGCAGGCAGTCCGAGGAGCGGTGCGTGAGGTTGGGCAGTTGTGGGGCTACCATATTGACAGCAACCTGTAGTGAACTTACACTGGTAAGAAGATAGCCGTGGGTTCCGCTTGGGTAAGTTCCGCAGGGGAATCTGTGCAGTTGGAGTACACGGCAGGTGCATCAGCAACCTACCCCGGTGGAGAGAGCCCTGGCCCTAACGCCAAGGTGCACAGGTGTGGAGGCAATATTTAATAATGCTGGGATAACAGAGGGTCATGGTTGACTTTCTGGAAGCTCAGTCTTCCCCTGAATCTAGGCTCCTTCTTATATGTAAAAGGCCAAATCCATTCCGACAGGCAAGTTTGGACTTGCACCTGGGCCCTGACATTAGGCTAGTTCTCCTCTTCAGTCCATAAGTACGAGACCCTGTCCAGGGCGCAGGACCCTTAGATGACAACGTGGTCCTTGTTGACCAAATGCGCCATCCCAGGTGAGGGTGGTACCCAGACCTCACCAGACCTGCAGTGGGGCTGTTCCTCGGGAGGCAGACTGAGATGAGACTGCAGAGGGCTTTGAGGGGGAGCACTGGGGGTCTGGGGAGAGCCCAGAGGGGCCTGGAGAAGGGAGAGGGGAGCAAATGGGGGCTTCCTGGGCTGCGGCGGAGTGATGGGAAAGACAAAGGCATCTGCTTGACTGCTTCCTTCCCACAACAACTAGTACATCCTGTTTGGGGGCATTAGAAGTATTCTACTTCCATCATGGGAAGAAAATAAAAATCCCTAACCCCACTACCTAACACCGGCCATTTCTAACCTTTTAGTGTAGTGTCTCCCAGTCTTTGGTCCGTGCTTCTGTAATCTGACTGTGTTTGCAGTTTAGAATTCAACATTTTCCACTTAAAATTTTTAGATAGACTTTAATTTTTGTGGTCATATAATAATCGTGTATGTTTGTGGTGTACAATCACCTTTGAGTTTTTTGAGAATTTTCCATGGTCCTCTCCAAAACCACAATTCTAGTAGTTAGGTCATATTTCCTTACAATACTTAAGCTTAGCTCCTCTACTGTTATTGGGTATGTTTCACCTTGTTTTAAATAAAACATGGGGAAAGAATATAAAAAGAAGTCTTTCCTCTGGGTCAACAGCAGCGTGTCACACAGTCTCCGGCATGGAGACAGATTCGTCCTTCAGACGTTGCAGTGCATGGAGTAACGGCCCCCATCAGCCCCTCGGGTGCTACAGTGCAGTCCCTGGGCAGCACTGTCCCACATGCACACTGGGACTCCCAGCCTTCCTGGGAAGAGAAGGCCTCCGTGGGCTTTGCCCCATCTGCTAGAGAGGTTGAGCCAGGGCTGCAGGGTCTCCTCTGAGAATCCCTCTCCACACAGAAGTGAGCTCCGATGTCATAGATCATTGGTCCTTTTATCCCAGTACAGACTGAGCATCTCTAACCTGAAAATCCAAAATCCGAAATGCTCCAATATCCAGAACCTTTTGAGCATCAGTATGACTCCACACATGGCAAATTCCACACAGTTACAGCTTGTTTTAGGCACAGAATATTGTACAAGTTACCTGCAGGCTGTAAGCTGTATGAAACACGCATGAGTCTCAGGTTTAGATTTGGTTCCCGTCCCCAAGATGTCTCGTTATGAATATGCTAATGTTTCAAAATCCAAAATCTGGCACACTTTGGGCCCCAGTCACTTCGGGTAGGGGGTACTCAGTTTGCACTTTGTTTTCGTGTTGTTCTTGCACCCTAAACTCCAAGGACCAGGGCTGCCCCTGGCAGCCGTGTGCTAGTCACCAGCAATGCTGTTCAGCACGGGCTGCCTGGACCTGACAATGACCCGGGATTACTGGGCACAGAGGGAAATGATAGTGATCGGGGAGTCAGGCCTACAGGCAGACGTGCAGGACAAGAAGGCCCGTGTGTGAGAGCAACCTGCACTAACGGCCTTGGGGCCAGAGGTTTCCCAGAGAGCCCAAGCCGGCAGCGGAAACCGGTCTGAGGATGCCTAAGGACCCTGACGGCCATTTCCCTCCCTTTGTCCTGCAGAGATAGATAGAAGCCTTGCCTGCTAGGAAGCCCAGGGCAGTGTCTGGTTACTACGCGTCATGGGTAACAGCCAGCCTCACCTTCGCAAACAGCAGTCAGCGCCGGTCACGCTCTCCTGAGGCTCCCAGTTCACTTGAAAGTCTGCCTGTGTCCTCTGCCCTCTCCCCTCTCCCCTCCAGCCTGGCTCTAAGCACCTTGTCCTCCTGCCTCTCCCAAGTGCATCAAACAGACCGCCCCTTGGCAGGCCAATGTGTAGCCTTTCCCTCTGGTTGAAATAGCAGCTGATCTCCTTCCCACCCCTTCTAGCCCCTGCCCTGACACCTCCACGTCCATTTACATCATAACAGTGCACCCACCGCTCTGTCCTCTTCACCTGCTGCTTCTCTCCTTGGACACTGGCACTGTACCTTTCATACCAAATCCTCACTTCCCACTTTCCTACTGTGTGTATTGTATCAGGTTTAAGAACTGCATGTGTCCTGGACCCTGTCATGCATATTCTTAGCACTTTCAGTAAGGGGATGGATGGATGGATGGATGGATGGATGGATGGATGGATGGATGGATGGATGGATAGATGGGTGGACGGATAGATGGATGGGTGGACGGATGGATGGATTGGTGTGTGGATGGGTGGGTGGATGGACGGGTGTATGGATGGGTGGATGGATGGATGGGTAGACTCCACCATTCTTTCCCCTGGAGCCAAGGCTGCACCTCTCCAGCCTTCTCCCATCACTAGGGTTTCTGGACCACACCTGAGTGGCCCCAGGATGTACTCAGAGATGGTGGTGTATCTTCATAGCCCCTCAACACCCAGCACCAGGGGAAACATTCTCCCTGGGAAGCAGGCGCCCCCTGCTTTGCCAGGTGCATGCAATTGTGCCCCCTGAAGCTTCTTGGAAGTTGAGATGCCTAGGACTGTGGACCTCAGGTCTGACAGACTCTGGGGGAGTCAGGATATTAATGGCCATCCTGGCAGGGGGCCCTAGATGATGACATACCACCAGCTTACCCCTAAAGGTAGTTTTCCACCCAAACACCAAGATCTGGACAGTGAATAGTAGGTCTGTCCAAGCAAACCTGTTAGGTTGAGAGCCGGAAGTCACAGATCCCAGCAAGAGGCAGCATTCACTTTCACCTGCTATGACTTGGTTAAGGAAGGTATGTGCTGCTTCATTCTCTTACCTAAGCTGAAGGGAAGCACTGGGGAAAAGACAAAGAGGGGGCAGTCTGTGAGCCTGCGATGAGAACTGAACAGCCAAGCACTTTTGTGTAGAGCAGTACCTTTGTGTAGACACACACTTTAGGCCAACCTGGTAGGTCATAGCTTGCCCCCTTCTCCTGCTGTTTACCTCTCTGCTCTGCTGTCCCTCGCTGCCCACTGCAGGAATGTGGGGTTTTCACGATCGAGACCTGGTTTTGCGGAAAGCTCTCTACACCATGATGAGGACGGGTGCTGAGCGAGAAGCCCTGAAGCGGAGGTGGAGGTGGCAGCAGACGCAGCAGAACAAGGAGGTTGGTACCCGCCTGCTTGCCAGGTCAGCCTCTGGCCCTGCTAGAGCGCAGTGTGGCCCACAGCTCTAAGTGCATCTTGCGAGGTCAGCCACAGACGGCCTCGGGGCCTGGCCTACGCTGACCTACACCCCACGGCACAGGAGCCTCGTCACAACAGCACGGCCCTGGTGGGTGGTGGCCACATGCCCATTCACACGTCCCGCACGGGCATAATTAGGAAAGCCACAGCGGGCACAGCCCTGGGCCCCAGCCCCAGATGTGAGCTCAATTCAGAGAATCCCAGGTATCCCTAACCTGGTTAACGTTAGCACTTTGCTCTCCTAGGAGAATCTGCCTGCTTCCTGGTTCAAGCTCGCCCCAAGCTCTTTAAAGGGTGCCCTGTCAACCCCCAGCCAGGCACACGCACACAGCCCCCCATGAAACTCTCGGGGGGTGGACCCCCATCAGCTCTGAAATGAGAACCTGAGGCTTCTGAAAATACATTGTCCAAGCAAAGCAGGGTCCGTTCAGGGCCACTGAGAGATGTGGCCGGCCAGGGGCTCGTGGGCCTTGGGCCAGCCCACCTGGTCCAGTGTGGCTGTACCTGGGAGGGGCGAGGGGGAGGCAGGGTGCCCTGCTGACCTCCTGACCTGGCTTCCCTTTGCGCCAGTCAGGGCTGGTGTACACGGAGGAGGAGTGGGAGCGAGAGTGGACGGAGCTGCTGAAGCTGGCCTCCAGCGAGCCGCGCACGCACTTCAGCAAGAACGGGGGCACCGGTGGTGGGTAAGTGCCGCCCCTGAGCACCCCAAAGCTCATGCTCCTCGCCACCCTGGGCCTCAGACAGCATGAGGGAGGAGGTGCAGGCGCACCATGGTGCTCGTACGCTGTGACAGGCGAGATTGCAGCTGTCAGTTATTAGATGCTAAACAAGGGTGCGTAGGAGGTTGTAGGGACACTTGGGTCATGCCAGCCTCCATGCACACTTCCCAGGCAGAGGCGGGCGCTCACGTGCACACCGTCCTCCTCAGCTCAGGCCTCCTCATGCAGAGAGGGCAGCGGTAGGCAGGGGACTCCGGTCGTAGCCGCCCACGGGAAGTGGCCTCAGAGGTGGGTGGTCATTCCCACATGTGACCATTGCATGACAGGCTCTGCAGACTCTTGACATTTGGATTTTCTGCCTAACTAAACATCGAATCAATCTGTGGCTTCACAGAATCATGCTGAAAGCAAAAGCTTGCTAAATTCGTCCAGCTGTTCCCAGGTAGACTTTATATGCCTGGTTTAAAAAAAAAAAAAGGCTTCCCTCTCGGTGTACATTTAGGAAAGGCTTCTTCCTGCAGACCTAGGTCAATGTTCCAGCGTGGAAATGAAGAGCTGGCCAAATGGGATGGCCACAGAGCCCTTGGCCATGGCCTTTCAAGAGTGTGTGCTTCGGTGTCTGTTGTGTGGGACCTGAGGGCAAAGGTTTTGCCCCAGAACAGGTCTCAGCCAAAGAGTGACCCTGGACACTGTGGGCCTATGGGGAGGAGACTGCAGCTCCTGGCCGGCCTCCAGCTCACAGACCCCAAAGCAGCCATCTGGGTGCTCACTGACCCCCACAGGGGCCTGGTGCTTCTGGGCCCAGTCCTCTCCCAAGACCAGGAGCTGGAGGTCAGCTTGCCACGTGGCCCACAGCAGGGTCAGCAGCTGCAACTGAGCCAAGAGGAGCCCCTTCAACACAGACACCCACATACGCAAGCCCACAGTTCCTCCCGGGCTGCTTTGTCGGTTTGTTTTGATGACCTGCGAGTCAGCATCGACAGTCCACCCTGTGTAAGTAAGGCGCTGTGCCGCTGAGCTATATCCCCAGCCCTCCACACTGTTTAAGAACAAGCATCTTTGAATGTTTGGAGACAGGTGGTTGGTTCTGAAAACTCAGCTCTTTTCCGTGTCTCCTGAGTCCTGCCTCATGGGTCTCTGGTCCTCAGCATCCCTCTCACTGTTGCCTCTCTGCACCTGCAGGGCAGGCATCTGATCGATGCTGGAGGAGTTGATCTGGTCTGGGCATCTCTTACAGGGTGGAGGGAAGGGTGAGAAGACAGCAGCAGCAATGATGAGGAGGAGGAGGAGGAAAATAGTGTCCATTTTCCATTGCTATAACAAAATACCTGGGGCTGGGTACTTATAAAGAGAAGAAGTTTGTTTAGCTCATAGCTTTGGAGGCTGCAAGTTCCAACAGTGTGACACTGGCTCTGGCAAGGGCTACAATGCCTGTGTCCCATCACAGCCAGTGATGCCATGCAGAAGTGCTCGCAGGAAGGAGCCAGCTTATGCACATAGAGGAGGCCAGGGTTCAGGGAGGAGCCAGATGCATTCATTTCATTACAGCACACCAGAGAGAACCACCCGGGGGTCCCACAAAAGCCACCTCTTCCCTGCAGAGAGCAGCGCCCCAAGGATGAGGCAGGGCCCTCCTGCTAGGCCCAACCTCTTAAAGGTTCTGCCACCTCCCAGCATCACCACATGAGGATCAAGTTCCCAACACAGGAACCCTTGGGGGCCCACTCGATCCTCATACAAACCACAGTGACTCATGGTCAGCACGGGCCACGGCCTCTTAGCGCCCCATGCAGCGGGGCTTTGACCGCAGTGCTGGGCTCATTAGTCCCGTCCAGCTTCTCAGAGCACCAAGCCTCACTTCCCACTCACTGGGACCTGAGGGGGTCAGGTGGGAATGGGAGTGGAGGAGTATGGGGTGCGTCCCTACCTCCCCGAGAGCAGCACAGCAGCAGGGAGGGCCTGCTGTTCTCTTTGGTTCTCGCTCTTTCTCCCACCCTTCACCCCTGAGAAACACTGGGTTTTGTCTCACAGATTGGAAAGCTGAGCTCACAGAGAGGTGTCACCCAGGCTGCACGGAGTTCAGTCCTGAAACCTGGCCTCACAAGGCTTTCGTTGCCTTGTAATTTGGTACCTGATTCAGGCCACAGCATCCTCAGGGGGCAGCCCAGGCGAATGACTCCTTTTGATGCTATTCCAAACCCCAGCTCAGTGCTGGGCACAGAGAGCCATGACCAGCAGGCGGAGAGCTGAGTGCACACACACACACACACACACACACACACACACACAGAAATGCTCCTGCCCAGACCTGTGATGGGGGCAAACGCCGGTCCCAGTGGGATGAACATTCACCCATCGTCCTGCACAGCTTTTGCCTGGGAGCCAGAGTAGAAAGTCCGGCTTCCTATGAGGACCGGGATTCCCGAGTGACCAGGAGAGGGTCATTATAGCTTGATGGGAATTAGAAATGTCGTATGCTGAGCACATGTGATGGGTCAAGCATATGAAATTGTCATTATCATCACCAAGTGCAGATAAGGAAGCTGAGATTGAAAGGACTAGATTATGTATTAGAGTTCCCCAGAGAAACAGAAAAACATACATATATACCTACTGTAGGTGTGTATACATGTACATACATGTGTGTATCCGCTATTATAGACATGTGTATATACACAGATACGTACACACATTACATGCATACGTGTGTATCCACATGAGCGTGGAAGCTGAGAAGTCCCAAGCCCTGCTGTCTGCAGCAGAGTCCAAGGGCCTGAGTACTGGACAGCTGATGGTGCAGGTTCCAGCCCAAGTCCAGAGGCCTGAGGACCAGGAGTGCCTTGAAGGGATCTTCATCCCAGCCTCAACGGCCAGGCAAAGGGCAAATCCAGCCCTGCCCTGCCTTTTGGTTCTGCTCTGACCACCCACCCTGGGAGGATCATCTGCTTCCCCCATGCACCAGTGCAAATGCCAGTCTTCCAGAAGCACCTTCACAGGCGCAGCGGAAAGCATGCTTCACAGAAGTTGACACAGAAAGTTCCGCCTCACACGTTCGCTCTCAGCGTTCTACAGCCCATAAGACAGAGCCAGAATCCAAACCTAGCGCTGACTTGGGACATAAATTCACACTCTTGGAAAATGCAAAACAAGTATAAAGAGCAAGAATCCACCATTTATCTTGAAGTTTGTGGTGAAAATCATCATTTTTGCTCTTTGAGCTTTTAAAAGAACAGCTTGTGTCTCTGACGAGATGGCATTCATGGCCACTGAGAGGCCGGTGACACGAAGGAAAGGCAGGAGAGGAAGGGGCCTTTTCAAGGATGCAGGCAGCCCCAGGCCACCTTCCACCCCGACACTCTGCTTCTGGTGCCTCTCTGTGTTAGGATTCTGTAATTTCACTGGCAGTGTGTTTGCTACATTACTGGCCTTTTCCAGAAGTATGTATAGACTCCTAAATGTTTCCATGACATAGACTCAAAGACATAAATGTAAGTCTTCTAAGGAAAAGTGAGTGTCATTCTGCACCTAGAAGACCCCTGTCCCACTGGGCAGCTCTCCCGTGTGCTGGGTTGGCTGCTTATTGGAGAGGAGGCATTCCTGTGCATGTTCCTTAAGGGGCTGGGAGTTCTGTCTGCAAACTGAGCAGAAGGAGTCCTCACTTGACAGATGTGGCATCCAAATCAAAATTTTGAAGCCTTAAGAATAAGACCAGGGGCTGGGGACTTAGCTCAGCGGCAAAGCGTCTGCCTGGCAAGCGCAAGGTCATGAGTTCGGTTCCCGGTACCGGAGAAAAACCAAAAAAAAAAAGAATAAGACCAAAGCCAGCACTTTCCTGATTGCGCTCACGTAGATGCCTCCTGTGGCTTCCTATCTAAGGAAGCCACTTTTGATCACTGTGCTTATGAATAACTGGTAGCTGCTTATTTGACCCTCAGTTTATTAGCTCTCCTATTGGGGTTCCTACACTTGCATCCATGTGTACCTATGTGTGCACACACAGACACCCCCAGTACAATGTGAGCAGATAATCAATAAGTAATTGTCACATAAATGACCTCAGATTATTGATCCTGAGCAACATGATGAATCCTTAACCTCAGCCACACGGGTCACTGCTGGAAGCTCCAAACCTACTGTGTGCCTCCAGAGTGCAGGGAGGACCTGTAATCCTTTGGTCCTCACTTCCAGGTTGTAGCTCTTAGCCGGGGCCCTGCTAGCCTATACTGTGCCTTTATAGCAGCTTTTGAAAGTCTGTCTCTCTGGGCAGATGCAATCCTTGGCCAGACACAGAGGCCCCTGGCCAGCACCTGTCTGGGTTGGGCCCAGGGAGAGTCACACAGCTTAAATGTTGCCGGCAAGGTCCATGCATGAGCAGGACTATGTAACTGTGAAAAGAGGTGCGGGGCATCCCCACGTCCTGCACTGGAGGGGTCTTGGGGACACACCAGAGAGAGGAAAACAGGGTCAGGATAGTGAGGATACGACCTTCTCTGTCACAGGGCTGGGAGGTGTATAGTATATACCTGTAGGTACTCATTTATCCACGTACAGATGCATTTAAAATTTAAATGTACCCCTCAAACCAATAAACACATTGCTTTTCTGTGGTGACTACAATTTACTGTCCACCCTGGTTCATTTGTGGAATGGAAAATAGGCACTATCTACCTAGGGTGTGTGAAGCAGGACTTTGTCAAGCAAAACAAGAGGTGTGGTCATCCCACCTAGAGAAGAGAAAGTGGGGTTCTGCCCGAGCTCCCCCTCAGTGAGGCTCAGTGATTGCTGTGTGATGAGATCGGCCACCACCCCCGCCCCAGGAGGCTTTCTTGCCGGTGACATGGGCTCTTGCTGGGGGTGGTCTCTAAGAACTGTGGCCACACCTTAAGCCAGGACCCCTGCAAATCTGCACCCTGCCACTGCTCTCCAGGACCTGGGGTATCTCCCAGGCCTTGCCTCACTGCGTT